GCTATATTGTAGAAATGGTTTGAACACAGATACAATATGAGAAACAAACTTGTTCTAAACATGCACAAAAATGTGCACTGAATTACTTGTGGATTTTTAGCCAGACAAAATTCTGTCTACATGTCACTTTCACATCTCATTTTTTCCAGACATTTTAACTTTGGTGAAGGAAAAAACATAATTTAGTTAGATTATGAGGTTAGTTATGTTTGCAAACTAAGCATGTCGCATTGCAACTGCTCTTATATCTCAACCTTGTGAATTACAGTTGTTGAGCCCACTTCCTCTGATAGTTGTGAGCCATTGTCATTGTGAGCCTGAAAGAAGAAAAGCCCATTGAAACATAGCATGCGATTGAACAGAGCGATGCAAATTCAGTCAATGACTTGACTTGACTTGAGACTGGTGAAACATGAGCAAGTATATTATCCTTTTATATAAAGTCAACACAGGATTTAATAGCTCTGAATGGTCTGCAAGAAGCGGCATGCTCTGGCATAACTATGGCATGTTTGATTTTCCTTTACAGCTTCTGAGGACTGCAAACACTGCTTATGATGGGATGGTTTCCCTAAAGAAAAGAGAGACAAAAAAGCTGTTTAGAAGGGATATCTTATCTGTTAAGTCTGAAAAAAACAAGGTTTGGTCGTGAAAAGCATGCGGATGGTGAAGTGGAGACAATAGATCTGAAGATGAGCCTATAAGCATGAATTGCGACAGTGTTATCTGAGAAGAGCTCTGCCTCTACAAGAATAAAGGAACCACAATATGCTCTTTTGGCACTGTTGTTAAAGTAATGGAAACAGATGGAATAAATTAATAGAGCAGAAAATGAATGAGGAAAGAGAATGAGGAACAGGAACAGGGACATTTAAGAATTGATAACAAATTCCCTCTGTATAATGATGATGTATGTTTTTCTGCTATGACCTCCGGCCTACCAGCAAACCCACATTTTTCAATAGCCTACTCCTACTTAAAATCCCTGTAAGAATGTTGTCTCGCACTCGTCATACTTGTAGAAGCTTGCAACAAGTCAAAGACATGCACAACAAAACAATAACAAAAAAATGCATTCACTTTAAGGTGTGTCTGCCTCTTAGCACACTTTATGTATAGTACTCAGAAACACGTTCAAACAGGGAGACGCTTCCTGGAAAAAAGACCTAATAGAACAATAGACCTAAATCTGACATCTGAAATCATTTGAATGAGCACAAAACAACCCTAAGAAGAGGATGCTTTTCCTCATGTAACGGTGTCTGGAAGGATTTGGTGGTCACCATGTTGCCAATCCTTAACGTGAACCATGTGAGCTCTAATTGGTTTTATCTGGTGCCAAATGTGTTGGTGCATGTGTCCTGAAACCCGTACGAAGTACCTGAACATGGTTTCCTTGAACTGTGATACCTGTTACGCCAAAATATTTGATTAGCCACCTAACAGTGGGGTGTGAGACCGAGTCAAGGAGGCAGACAGAGAGAGAGAGAGAGGGAGAGAGAGCGAGAGCGAGAGAGAGAGAGGAAGGGAGGGAGACAGAGGGAGGGAGGAAGAGGAACATCTGGGGAGGCTCCAGTCTCTTTTCTGTAACCACACCCACAGGCGCATTTCTCAACTCTGCGCTCCGCTACCTGTCGACTGGAAACGAATCTGTGCGTTAAAGGACCAAAACGACATTAAAGCGGCAAGAAACCCCGCAGAAACACATATTATCGGGTGGCTTTCAACATATAATGGACTAATACTTCTTTCGGTAAGTGGAAAACTCGCCGAAATGAACTTTTGCTGTGTCTTAAAAAAAAGTTTAGCTCCGCGTTCCAGTCAATTGGACAGGAGTTGATTCGTTGTTTTTTATACGGCCGTCTCTGTAACGAGAGACGGCCGTATACAAAAAACCCCACACAACCTGTATTGTCCCGGGTAAATGTGTAACTCATACTATCGGAAAAGAGCTAAATCCATCAATAAAATATGTTTAAATAACGCATAGAGTCTGTGCGTAAAAGGCCGTTTTAAAGACTCATACATATTCAGATGTCTCTTTTTACATGTAAGCACAGCAGAAGGCTAATAGCATTTACTATGTTAATTACATACGTATTTGCATTAAAGTCGTGTAGTTAAGCCATTGTGTTTTGTGAATTACATGAAACTCTGGATGTGTCATCGTTGGTCCAACTTGTTTCCTTCATGTACGGATTTGGCTCGAGGCCTACCCATAAATGTGTTGTTGTCAGCTAAATGCTGATAAATGAGGCCTTTGGGAGTTGCTTTCACTTTAATTCAGATTTAGAAGATAAAGAAGAGTTTATAAAAGTCAGAATTGAAGGTTATGTATTATGCAAGGCACCTGGAGTTCACAGAGTGAAAGCAGAGTACTCAGCAGACAATGAAAACATGTTCACCCATTCTTCATTCTGCCATGTCCAGGTTTGAAGATAAACTCCAACCAGCAACAGAGGATTTCCAGAGAAAGGGTTTTTGACTGCCAGCCAAGGACATGGACTGGAAGACCTTCCAAGCCCTCCTCAGTGGGGTGAACAAATACTCTACGGCGTTCGGGCGGGTATGGCTGTCTGTGGTGTTCGTGTTCAGGGTCATGGTGTACGTGGTGGCGGCGGAGCGAGTGTGGGGCGACGAGCAGAAGGACTTTGACTGCAACACCAAGCAGCCTGGCTGCGCCAACGTCTGCTACGACCACTACTTCCCCATCTCCCACATCCGCCTGTGGGCCCTGCAGCTCATCTTCATCTCCTGCCCATCTTTTATGGTGGTGATGCACGTGGCGTACCGTGATGACCGTGAGCGCAAATACAAGATAAAGAACCCAGACTGCGAGAAGCTGTATGCCAACACGGGCAAGAAGCACGGCGGCCTGTGGTGGACCTATCTGGTCAGCCTCTTCGCCAAGACGGGCATCGAGGTTGCGTTCCTCTACATCCTCCACCACATCTACGAGAGCTTTGACATGCCGAGACTCGTTAAGTGCGAAGTGAAGCCTTGCCCTAACGTGGTGGACTGCTACATCGGCCATCCCACTGAGAAGAAGGTCTTCAGCTACTTCATGGTCGGAGCTTCTGGCCTCTGCATCGTCCTGAACATCTGCGAGATCATCTATCTCATCTCCAAACGCGTTGTGCGAATTGGCAACAAGTTTAAGAGGCGCCATCGCAGCACGGCCGTGCGACAAAACGACTACAACAGCAAGGAGCCCTTTAACAACTGCCATTTGGCCGTGCCGAGTCGGGACCGGAAGGACAGGCCTCCGTCCTTTAAGAGTGCATTCAAGTCCTCACACGGGGTATCCAGCCTCATAATGGAAGAGAAGATACGGGCCTCCGCTCCTAATCTGTCCTCCTCATGAGATGACAGGAGGCTGAAATTAAGAGATCAGCAGAACCCAGTGTCAAACCAAAAGACAAACAAACTCAGAACTATGAGACAAACGTCAGTGTGTGTCTGACCCTGGAAGTCATGATCCATCCCTTGGGCCCCTGTGTCCACATCTAAGACTCTTTTTGAGCTCATGAACTTTGGTTTCCAAGTCAGCTCGAGCCAAATTGATTTGTTAATAATATGTTGGTTTTCTTCTTTTTGAACACAATACAGGTCTGTGTGCCTTTTCAACTTCACCCATATTCAAACATTCCTATGAGGTTTCTGTGTTTCATGTGATTCGAGTTTTGACGCAGGAGGGGAAGGCAATGAAATGCTCACACAAGGAGGCAGGACACACCTGGCAAAGGTATTCCCCCTCCCTGTCTCCCTGTCTGCCTGCCTGCCTGCCTGCCAGTGTATACAGTGGTGTGTCAGGGCACTAATTGTTAGATGCACATTTCTTGATCTCTTTTATTTAACTGAACATTAGCTTTACCTTTATCATGTGTTGTCCTGTTGACATTAAAGATGGGTAAAAAACAACATTGGGAGTGGGGATACTCCAAGGTCATAGAGTTATGGCTGAGTTTTACTTGAAGGTGTGCGAGCTGGCCAAAACAAAATGTTTTTACTGCATTTTTGCTTCAGATAAGCAACAATGTGCATGTAATATTAGTGTATTTCTTTATCTTAAGCCTCAGCAGACTCAGGTTTATGCTGCACGGTCATACGCTGTTCTGCCTGTGTTTTGATGTGCTTGTACACAAACACCCCTCATCCAAGACCACTGTTGATTTAAATAAGGCCAAAGGAATGCTGCTGTTTATCCCTGTGTTGGTAGAGCTGCAGCACTGAGGAAAAGGTCGTACAAACAGACGTCTCATTGAACTATTAACGCATTTTTGTGAGTTCCTAATCGTCCCCTGTGGACCTCAGCTGGACATGGATATTATGCACTTGTTAAAAATGTCATTTTTACAAAGCTAAATATATTAAATGTATTGAATGTGTGTTTTGTATTTGGTGTTTTTAATGAGGGATGCTTCTTGATACGCAGGTAATATTTATTTTTGGAACAGTTTTCTATTAACACATAGGACAAAGACACTTTTCCTCCCACAAACTGTTTGATCATCCTTATAATTTAAAGAGCTGTTATTTTCCATTGTTGTTGACTCATGATTAGTTTCTTACACAACCGATTAAAAAGCATGCATGGTAATATCATTTGTCCACGTGATCTAGCTGTGAGTCATCACATGCGATTTGACTGTCTCTTATACTCATGAGGCAAGTTTCTAAAGCACCATGAGGAGGCCAGCGGTAAGAATCTCAGTCTGCCTGTCAGACTTGTAAGTCAGGTTTTTAACAAGGTGGAGTAAAGAAAGAAAGTTTGTTTATTCTGAATCATTTCCGCAACAAACTGCAAAATCAATATGGAGTCAAGAAATATTAACATTGTGCCTAATATGGTCAGTTATGGCTCCAAAATGTTTACAACAATTGAGCTAATATTGACTGTAAAAGGCTTAGATTTACTTTTCAAGCTTCTTGAGTTACAATCTTTCTTTACAGTTACGCTATTTATATCTCTTTGCTCTCCACATAAGATCAATGACACATTTCATGTATGAAATAAAATTTATTTTTAAAGGTACTATCTCCGGATATTTACATGTAGAATTTGAAAGGAAAATAAATGCACAGCACATCAACATTTGTTCCACAAGCCAGTACAATGCCCACGTTCATTAGAACAGATTTTTCATAGACTCTGGAGAATTCATTTCAAGACAGACATAACTGCATATGGAGTATGGTAGAAAACAAACAGTGTTTTCATCCATACCCAAGACATAATTCCACTGGTTCATTAACAGAAACTAAGTGTGTGTCTACTTTGATTTGCCCACTGACCAGAAAGGAATGTAAACACACTATTAAAGAAGCAGGTGATGGCATGGCTTTTATAAGATGGATTTGTGATTAGACTGACTGTACATAAGGCACTGTTCCAGCTATGCCATCATGAAGATTAATAAATAAACCAAAAACAAAGTAACTGGTACTTGGAGAGGATGAATGACACTCAGGAGAGAATAAGCAGATCTGCACATAGAGAGGATGAAGGCTCCAGGTTTTGCTGCAGAGTACAGTCTGTGTTTTCACTCTTGTCTACAGCTTGCAGTTGGCCTGCGCTACTTTGGAGCTGGTCTTCCTGTTGAGGGTTCGGCAGATATAAGCTCCGGCATCCATCAGCTTTGAGAGGTCCACTCCCTGAGGTGAGGACAGCAAGTCAAAGGTTAAACTTGAAGGAGCCCACATCCTACAAAATATGGCTAAAATGTAAACTACAAATTTAGCTTAATTATAATATGTGGAAAAAAACGCAAAAACAAGAGCAGCATTTACAAGTTCTACTATATAGGAAATAAAATAAAAGGGAGGTTGAAGACAAACATAAAGGAGGACTTCTCACTGTTTGAATCCCAAGTCCGTGAAGCATGTACACTACATCTTCAGTAGCAACATTCCCAGAAGCCCCCTGGGCATAGGGACAGCCCCCCAGCCCTGCTACTGACGAGTCCACCACACTGATTCCCATCTGCAAAATAATGGTACAATAGATTCATTAAAGACAATCTTCAGTTTATGAATTCATGTTTGCTTTTTACCTTTAATATTTATTCTATTGATAAAAAGGAAAATATATTTTCCAAAAATAGTAAGTAACCAGAGTGAGGTCTGACCTGTAAGGCTACAAGGATGTTGGCCAGGGCCTGGCCGTAGGTATCGTGGCAGTGCACTGCCAAGGCATTAACTGGCACCTCTTTGCTCACCGCCTCCAGCATTTCTATCATGCTTCCAGGAGTCCCCACTCCTATTGTGTCCCCCAGAGAGATCTCATAGCAGCCCATGGAGTACAGACGCTTAGCCACCTGCAAGATAGAGTCCAAGTTAGACCTGGTTGATCTGGTACTGTGCCAGTTTACGTCAAATAAACATGTATCAAATAAAACCCACGTGTGCAACTTTTTCTGGTGCCACCTTGCCTTCATAGGGACATCCAAGAACACATGACACATAGCTGAGGTGACAGGAAACAGAGAGGAAGGAAATGAAAACACAATAATTCCAGTAATGTATACATGTGTTAGGAGCGAGACAGTAAACCTACCCTCTAACTGGCACACCGGCTTCTTTCGCTGCTTTCATAATCACTTCAAAGCGCTGTAAACTCTCTTCCACTGAGCAGTTTATGTTCTTCTTACTGAAGAGCTCTGATGCAGCACCAAATATGGCTACCTCTGAAGCTCCAGCCTTCAACTGAGGTAAGTAAGAGCAAGTACAATTTTTATTGAAACATTGAGACTACAGTGTTAGAAGCTGGATTTATCAGTGTAGCTATTGGGATGTGATGTGTGACACTTACAGCAGCCTGGAAACCCTTGAGGTTGGGGGTGAGGACGGGGTAAGACACCCCCGGTTTCCTACCAATCCCCTTCATCACCTCCACCTGGTCTGCCATCTGGACAAGGGTGACAGAAACCAATTAGTCCTGGAGAACAAGCCACCACCATTCCTTCACACTGCAGTTTCTGTACCGCCCTACGTTGGGTGTGTCAGCACTTTCCATATGAATGGCTGTGGGAGAACAAACTCACCTGTGGAACCCATTTTGGAGACACAAAGCTGGTGGCCTCAATGACTGGCAGCCCTGTCGCTGACAGCATGTCAATCAAATGAATTTTAGTTTCTGTTGGCACGATAGTCTGAGGGGGGAAGCAGCAGGGCAACAAAACGAGGAATAATTGTGAAAAGACTGACAAAAATGCATGCCTGGAATTATTTCACTTTTGCACCTATACTTGAGTCACATTTTGATTGCAGGACTTTTACTTGTAACAGAGTTTCTACACCCTGGTACTTCTGCTTTTACTTAAGCACAGGATCTATTTCTCCCACCTCTGACTATGCTGATGGTGACACGCATAGATATGTTAACATCTGTCTGAGACATTTAATAGCTTCTGTTTAATCCAATTATTCAAGTCATTAATTGTTCTTACATAACTTTACCTTTTCATTCTGAAGCCCATCTCTGGGTCCCACCTCCACTATTTTCACCTTCTCTGGAAGAGCTTGACCTGCTCTTACGCCAGCCTGCACAAACACACGCAGACACATATTTAATACAGATGTAATTTAAAGCAGTGTTAGGTAAGAACACCTGACACACAGCTGCCTAGGTTACCAGCTATCAGTGACTGTATGTTAGCTTAGCTTGACCGTGGAGGAAGCTAACAGTTCGCCGACAAGCACTGCAGTCCTGACAGCCATTTAAACATGAACAATATAACCTGCTGGGAGATAAAACTTACTGCAGTGACCTTTGCTGCTGAGCTATACGCCACATACTTCTGACCCATTGCTGAACTTAGAATTCTTCTGTTTACAAGCCTCATCACCGCCGCCATGTTGGTCGGTTAGTGCCCCCAGGAAGTGCGCTGGACTCTGATCAAAATATTCTAGTGTCCAAAAGGCGGTACTACAATTTCCGTATCAGTCCGTGACGTCACTGGGCCCAGAAATACTTTTTCCAATTGACTAACATTGGGAAAGAGACGTCTGTATATCAGCGGACAATTAAAAAAAAACGAAATAAACTACCCAGTATGAACTATTTTATAGCCCTTATTATAATCATTAGGTCCTTAAAGTTGTAAAATGCACTAAAAGCCGAATCTAGATTTATTTTCGGTCTCCATTCATTCTACTGAGCCGAGAGTGGGAGCTCCGGGGGCGGGGCTTAAGCATGCCAACATTCGTTCAACGTCCAAACCATACGACGCTGACTAACCCATGTTGGTCCAGCCTCTGGTCTGATGTCAGTTCTTCCTCGGGATAGAGGAACGGAAAGCACTGCAAGGTCGCCATCTATGGGCCGGGTCTTTGTATTGAAAACTCATTTCAGAATCTTTTAAATGTCCTTTATCATTTATTATGTTAATTGTAATTCAACACCATTACCATATACGTTTAAGACGCAGGGGCGGATCTACCGGGTGGCATGCGGTGGCAACTGCCACCCTAAAAAATAGCCTAGCCACCCCAGCTGCCACCCCAGTTGGCATCTTTGTTTCGAAAGAAAAGTTGTGGCTCATCTGACATTTATGAGAGAAAATCTCTAATGTCCGAGTGCAAGTGAATGCAGCACAAGACGCGAGTCTTGCCCCTCCCCCGGCCCTGGCGCGAGCTTGGAAATATGATTGGCGGCGATTTCATTTGAACGGGGGACGGCGCAAAACAAGAAGCATTCGGACCTATGATTCGGACTCAAGTAGACGGAAGGAATGAGGTATTTGCGGTCTACAATGACACAGAAGATACTGTCAAGTTTGGCTGTACTCAGCATTGAATCAAAACGCACTAAAGCTGTTGATCTTAATACGTTTGTGAGACGTTTTGCTGAACAAAATGGTAATAGCCGCATTCAGCTGTAATAGGCATGCCAACTTAATGCTCTGCTCACGGATGACTCGTGAGCATAAAAAACTGTTAAGAGATGAATGATGACCTGGTATGTTTGTATATATTTGTTTTCTTTGTGGGGGTCTGCCCCCAAAAAACAGTTTTATGGCCTGAGAAAGTCAAATAAGACGGTGTGTAAAACTACACTGCCCAGCCAAAAAAAAGTAACCACTTTGATTTAACTAGGCCAGTAGGTAAGGAATTTCCACTGGATAATAACTTACTGCAGCGATGTATATGTTTTAGCTGAATACACGATTTTTTTATTTAACCCTAACTGATGCAGTTAGTCACTTCTTTAATGTTTGTTCTTTCTGATGTAAAGTCAAGGTTGTAACTGTTTGCAGTAAAGTCGTGGGGTGCTGAACTGTTCGTTTGAATCTTTTGAATTTTGATACATGATATCATTAATTACTTGTCTTTCAAATTTGAAGGAAGGGGAACATTCATCATTAACTCCTCCAAAATATATAGTTTATTCAATAATAAATGAATATGTGAATCATAACAGTGATTGACAGCTGATAGGAATAATATGATTGTTAATAGTATCATATTCATTCAGACAAACATCGATGAGACAGTTAATTAATGTACTTATTGCAGCAGTCTTCATAGATTTGGTACCCCTGCTGGTCTAAGAGTGAAACAAACTCATTCAGTTATTGTTCAGTTAAAATTCATTAAATTATGTCTGCCACCTTATATATTTATATGTAAGGCTTTACTGATGTGCCACAATAATGTCACCTAATGTTATTGAGTTAAAATATTAATATTGTGGCTTTTCAAGTTAACATTGATTGATCTGACTGCGATTAAATCAGCATATACTTCTGCCAGGGGATGCCACCCCTCAAAATCTCCTGCCACCCTCTTGCCACCCCATGGATATTTGTCTAGATCCGCCCCTGTTAAGACGTTTACAAAAGCTACATCATATTTATACACCTATGTTTTAATGCTTCACTCATGTTGATGTCATTTTTCTTGTAATCATTCACTCACTATTTGACAAATAATCTAAATGAATACTGTTTTCTTTACAATACTTTCGAAATGTTCTAAAATCATCAGTGTGCAATGAAATATTGTCCATTTCGAATGAATATAATCTGCCTTTATTTTATTGTATTTTCATTATTTGTTCTTGTCCTTACTATAGTTTTCCTTTTATAAGATTTGTTTAAACTCTCCATTTAGACAAAAAGATGTGAAATGACACAGAACACAGAGTTGTATAAAAATATCTTTAATGTGTCAAAAAGTTTAAAAAAACAGACAAATAAATTATAATTGGTTTTATACCATAGTGCATATCATAATCAAAAATGATCATAGAAAAACTTTGTGACATTGGGAGGGAAAGAAAAGTCTGCTGTTGACTTTCCCTACAGTGAGCAGGAAAACAGCAGTAGAGTCATAACATGTCACTTTGTTTTGTTCAAACGCCAGCATTTATCAAAGCAGAAAGACTCGAAAAGTAGCAAAAGTGTTTTTCCATGCATATGAAAAAACAATTGAAAGAGTTATTATTTAACAATAATAGAAGCAAAGGAAACACTGACAATGCATGCTTTGGATACTGCATATATTTATGAAGTTTAACAAAAAGCATTCCATTTGTCACTAAGGTCAACTTCTCATTGAAAGTAACAATTAACCGGTTGCATTTAACTAATAGACTTATATATATATAACTAATATATCATAAATGTATGTATTTACATTACTGGATCACATATGTTATGCATAAATTCTCCTGCATGGCTTCAGCACATGCACTAACACACACACACACACACACACCACACACACACACACACACACACACACACACACACACACCACACACACACACACACACACACACACACACACACACACACACACACACACACACACACACACACACACACACACACACACACACACACACACACACACACACACACACTTTGGTTATATTTCACTCCAGCTCCTCGTCACTGTCGTCCACTTGTTGGATGATGAGGTCGGCCCCCGAGTCTTCAGCCAGGTCATCGTCATCAGTTACCATCCAGCTCCTCTTGCTGTCCCCCTCCTCCTCCCCGTCTACTCCCAACAATAGTGCCGGCTCCTCATTGGCGCCATCTAGACTGTCCATGGGGATGTCATCACAATCCACTTCCTGGATGCACGCGGTGCACATGCGGTATCGTCGTGAGCCCTCACACACCACATGCCCAGTGTCCTCCGTCACCTGACACTTACACTTCCTGCAAACCAGCTTCCTGGCTTGATGGATCTGTGGAGGAACACAAAAAGTCAGAAATGCTGTTGGTGTTTCAAACACTGAAGCACAGCCTGAAGTGTATGCTCACAATTTCTATGTTTCTAAAGCTGTTACATCAATACTGAATGACTTTCGCCTCCAGGTTGTTAATAAACCTACCGTCTCGAAATGGCTCCGAAGATGCTCCAGGCGAGTGAAGCGTTTATTGCAGGCCTGACAGGGGTACGGCCTCTCTCCAGTGTGGCAGCGCAGGTGTCGCTTCAGGTCTGCCTTCCTCTTCACCGTGTGTGTGCAGAAGGGACATTTGAAGCGCATAATGGGGTTTGAGTCTGCAAAGAGGAAGAGAAAGTGTTCAGAGCTCTTGCTTTTCGGTTGATGCAGCAACCTGCACCAGAATCACAAAACCCAATATCCCCTGGGATAAATACAATTATTCTGATTCTTATGATTGTGATAAAAGTTAGAATTAAGAAGGTCACTGATGCTGATAAATGTTGAATAAGTTACAGAGATTACTTTTTTGGGAGTTCATGCTAAAAATATTTGTAAAATGGTTAACGACGACAAGAAATCGCATGACATCTGACTGTCTTGCTGTTTCGAAATGCAGTTATATTCGTTTTTTTATATAGAATATATACTTTTTTCTGGCATTTCTGATTTATTATATTAGTGAGAAGGAGACAGTAAAGGCATGGGATAAAATGCAACAGTAAACCCTTGGCGGGATTTGTACCCAGGCAGCTGTAGCAAACTAGCGTCAGCTATAAAGAGAACAATACTTGCATCAAATAGCTGTTTTCAGCTTGTCCATATATTATATTTCTGTCCGTATTAAACTTTCAATACATTAATAAATAATGCCCCGAATATGAAGAATTGGCTTATTTTGAGGTTTACAATCAATGCCAGTCTGACCATGTTGTTAATTTTCCCACTTCTCTATAGAAATGATTGTCTTTTCCTTTCGTACAGCCCGACTCACCTCTATTGAAGTGTCCAATTACACCCACAATAGGTGGCAGAGTAGCATAAAGCTCCTCTGCCTTCTCAGCCTTTTGTGTCCTGGCCTCCTGCAGGTCTAGGTCCTCAGGTTGGTTGGAGCGATTGCTGTTGGACCCTTTCCTCTTAGTCCCCCCTTTACCTCTCCGGCGCTCTGATCCAGGCAGGGTGTACAGAGGATCCTGAGGGTCATGCAGGTCCTCTGACTCTGCATGGAGATCATCAGCAGGGCTGCTCGGGTTAGTCTTCATCACTGAGGCCGATGACTCCTGGTCTAAGTCTTTTCCTATAAAGCTAGATTGTGATGTGGAGTTGTCCCGGGTCCAGAGCGCAGGGGGTGGGCTGACAGAGATGGGGCCTTGCTGCTGCTGCTGCTCTAATGTCTCATCCCCTGCTACACTGGTGAAACTGCAGGTCTCAGACACGCTGAGGCAGCGCTCACTGTCTTCATCCTTCACACTGATCTCCAAGGAGGATTTGATGAAGTTCTTGCAGAAGTTGATGACATTGTTCATCTGTAAGTAGCTTGCTGCTGACATCACCTCGATCACGTTGTGGCTTGAGAGGTCCAGCTGGCCAGAGTAGATGAAATCCAGGATGACGGTGAAGGTCTCGGGGCTGAAGACGTCGAAAGTGGCATCAACGGAGTCAGCCAGCCCGTCCGGCCCCTGGGACAGCAGCATGCGGAAGTATCCACTGCTGGCAAACAGGACGTTGCGGTGGGCCCTGAAGAGCTGACCCTCCACCAGCAGGTTGCAGTCGCAGAAGAGCTCCTGGCGGCGCTGCTGGTTCAGCTGCTTCAGCAGGCTGCTCTGGTGAGCCACTGTGATGTCTGCCGCGTTGAACCACCTCTGAGGCTGCCTGCAGGAGACAACATGAGAGCACTCTGGGTGTGCATGCGGAAAACACTGTTCTGCAATAAATTAACAGATCATAAAGGCCTTGTGGAAACTAATAATGACAGTGACACTTCCATCTACATGATCCTGGATGAACAAGCTAAGAGCCTATACATACATGACAAATGTTTTGACTTTTACATATTACAGTGGAAAACATGCACTTCTTGAGTGTGTTCGTGGGACATCTGACCTGGCCAGCTGACTTTGATAAATAGTTGTGCTACCAGGCTAAATATTAACAGGAGGTCACACAGCAAACACACCAGTGACCAGTGGTGTAGTGGGGATTTTTTTACTGGGTGGACGCTCGTGAACTGAACTGTCAACGGGGGGGTGCACTGTGGACCTCTGTCAGCGCAACTTACATGATGCCGTTTCAAATAATAATAAAGGGCGGTGCCTGACATCAGCGAACCGAACTTTCTCCGCGACTGTCACTCAAATGCGGGACATAGTCTCAATTTGTGGGACGCGGGACAAATGATAAAAATGCTGTGCAGTCCCGCAAAAAGCGGGACATCTGGTCACCCTAGGACTCATCCCAAACAATGCCACAAGTGCGCAGTGCACTCACAAAACGGGCAGACAGCAGGTCTACAGAAACTACCGGTATGCTTAGTCCTACTTTAATTAGCCTACTGTACTGCAAAAAGCACGCGCTGCGCTCAACACACACACAGACTCAAAACCATGGACACACCGGCACATAAGTTAGGCTACATAAACAATTTATAGGCCTAAGTTGCATAAATGCTTAGACTTCGACTATTAAAAAAAAAAAATCATGCTTCAAAAAAGTGGGGGCTCCAAATAAGTGGGGGGACGGCGATCCCCCGCGTCCAACGACCACTGCCAGTGACCCCCCCGTTGATGTAGCTGTCAGATCTCCCCTGTCTTTGTTTCTGCACTGGACTGTCTCCAGCTTCGCAAAACATCCGCCTACCTGACTTCATTCGGCGCTGTGATTGGATGCACGATCTTTCAATCAAACTCTCCTTCTAATAGGCTACACCCGACTCCAGTCAGAGCATCGGGTGGTAAAACCCTGTAATCACCCCTAAGCGGGCATGAAAAATATTATATATATATATAATATAAAACAGACTTAAGGGAAGAGAAAATATTAGAGCATTGTAACTGAGCATGACATGCAAAGATAGTACGAAAATGCCGCAACCTCATTTGCAGAATAGTTTTATTTTTTATAGTAACCTATTTAGCCTTCCTCGTGTAGACTCTAAATTACACGCATGCATTTTTAATTATGCGATGCTTTCTGACAGGCTCCCCAGCGCCCGATAACCACGGTGCAACGCCCGCTTGCAACATTCTATACTGCTCCTCATGTCACACGAAACCAAGTCCAGTATGTAAACAGAGATATTCTCCCGTAATTCAGGTAGTCGACCTATAAAACGAAATGAGAGTGCTGCAGTCCTGCGAGAGAAAAGCGGGCAGCGGCGCACCAGAGCAGCCCAGTCTGTCCTGGAGCGACGCCCACTTCAGGCTCCAGCCAGCACACAATGGAAAAATAAGAAACAAACCTCCAGTAACTGAGCATACTGCGAACTGATAAATACATATATTCACATAGGGAATCATATTTGGGATAAGACGCGCTAATACACCCGTTTTCATCCTCGACGCCACCCCCACTTTCCCCGGAGGTCCGGAGCGCAGCGAGCAGCGGGGAGGATTTGCCTGCTGCCCAAACCCAGCGACTCTCTCCCAGGCGTGAGGTGTCGGCAGGACCCGCTTACGCCCCACGCCGTTCAACCCTCACAAGATCCATCGATACTCACTGGTGACTTGATTCACCCGGCGCCCGATAGAGTCTACTCGCCCCCAAGTCTTCCACCATTTCCGTTTTTAATTTCTTTTGCATTTTTCCGGTGCTCTTTTCTCCCTTCCAGGGTCCACAGTCAGGCACTTCCTGCTCAGCCCTAAAGACCGAAACCCGGTTAGAGCGACTGGAGCTCTGCTGACGTGGGTGTTTATTAACTGGGTGCCCGAGGGTTCAAGGAGCCATTTAAAGCCCTAGTGCCCGGTTTTAATGTGGTGTATGGGCAGAATATTGATATTGAACAGTGCCTTATAACATTGTGTAATATTTCTATAGGGATTTATAGCCTGTCTGCCCATCTACTGACCTATCACATAGCCTGTCTTATCACTATGATAATGTTCCTGTGTGGCTCAATAGTGACTTTTCATCATATTTACAGACAAGCGTATCTTTTACTGGAATATTGTTATGGTTTTGTTTTTTCCACAAACATTTTGTATTTGATCTCATATCGTATTCAGCACTGAAACCGGCAATCTCCTAATAACATCTAATTTCACAATCATTTGAAACAGTTAACTTTTATAATGGAGTGGAAATGAAGACATCCTTAATATGATAATTTATTTATTCTTTCAGTGTTATGGCTCACAGATCAATACATACAGTATTATTGGAGAAAACACCCATTTTTAATCTGAGAAATCAAACATTTGTTCATTAGTTAATAGAGAATACATAGTATAAAGCAGCTGAATCACATGATGTTTATATGAAATGCAATAAAGAGGAAGTTGATGGTTTGCTTTGGCCCGATGATTTAGGAGAGGATTCAATAACAGCAAAAGTCTGAGTTGCATCAAGAGGCGGTGCCATCGGAAAATCCTGTGGGGTTCTTGGACTGCCAGCGCCACAGATCTTCACCTACACAGGTAAGAATAATAACATATATGATGGGGAAATATTTCACACAAAATAACTTTAAAATACACAAAGATATTTTAAGTGTAGCTGTGCTTACACATTCGTTCCAGGTCAAATTTGGCCTTCCAGCCCAGCTCCTTGTCAGCGAGACGAGGGTCAGCGTAGCAGGATGCGATGTCTCCTTCCCTACGTGGTGCAATTTTGTATTTGATCTATGGAGAGGATGCATTTTAATTAACAGAACAGGAGGGTGGTTTAGCCTTAAAAGGTGGGACCCTCTTAAATCATCTAACTTCACAATCAAAGTCAGCTTTGCCATCCTTTAAACATGATAACATGTAGTTTGGTTACTACGCCAAGTGAGTTTAATTACGCTCAGAAGACACAATACAATCACTGAAGGCAATTCGCTTTGGAAAGATGATGTCCCTCACCTCTTTCCCTGATGCCTTCTCCATAGCCTTCACCATCTGGAGCACAGAGTAGCCCGTCCCCGTTCCCAGGTTGTAAACCTTCGGACACAAAAATATACGCATGCCAGCACTCCCATAAATACCTTCATGCTATATGCAAGTGAATACACAATAGACAAGAAAATGTGTTTTGGAATGCTTTGCTTTTTTTCTCAAATGTACCTTGCAGCCACAGCCATCCTTCAGCTTCTTCAAAGCTGCTATGTGTCCTTTTGCTAGATCTACGACATGGATATAGTCTCGTACACCTAGAAAGAAAAAGGCAAACCTTGAGCCCTCTGCCCAATTTGCAAACCACAATTAAATATTTTAAATGCAGTTATTTTCCATTACCTGTTCCGTCAAGTGTGTCATAATCATTCCCATACACACTGAGGCACTCTCGTCTCCCAACAGCAACCTATGAGGGGGATCAATTAAGCAATGCAAAACACATGGAGTATGCTTCCATGCTCTGATCTAGCTGTGTATTTGGCAGAGGGCTCATGTACCTGGGCAACATATGGCAGCAGGTTGTTAGGGATACCCTGAGGGTCCTCCCCGATCAGGCCGGAGGAATGAGCTCCAATTGGGTTGAAATAACGCAACAGCATTGCATTCCAGTCCTGCTGACACACAGGCGATAATGAGACACCATGTGCACTGTATATGTGTGGGTGTGCATGGTTTCTGTCTTCGGATAAGTACCTTCTCAGCTTTACAGTGGTCCTTGATTATCTCCTCAATGAAGTACTTGGACTGGCCGTAGGGGTTGGTGCAGCCGCCCACGGGGTGCTGCTCGTCGATGGGGAGGCGCTGAGGGTCTCCGTACACCGTGGCTGAGCTGCTGAAGACCAGATTGTGCACCTTGTGAGCCTGCATCACCTGGGACACGTGCAGATGAAAAAAACAAGGCACACACATACAGTCAGCCGCTTAAGCACACACACATACAGAGTAAGTTTGGCGGACACAGTGAGCTCCACACGTTAAAAGTTCTGAAGGGTGCAGGGTTAGAATTAGCCGACTCAGTGTCAGATGAACACACGCTGTCATGCACTCTGCAAACAAAGAGGAAGTGCAAATAGAGATCGGTTCAGAAATGAAGAGGGAAGTGCAGGCTTAATGGAGGACAGACGTGTCAGATAAAAAGTTCAAACTGACCTCCAGCAGGTTCATAGAGGCGGTGAGGTTGACTCTGTAGTAGCGTAGCGGCTGCTCCACAGACTCGCCAACAGCCTTCAGACCAGCAAAGTGCATCACCGCACTGAAGGAATGCTGCAACACACATCCATGTTTAGTCAGGTATGACCAATGTGGAAGGACATCTTTTTAACTGATATGCCCAAGCATTATGTCACACTACCTATTCTCAGTGCTATCTGAGCACGTATGGTGGCCAGCAGGGACATTGTTTGGTAAAAAAAATAGAAAAGCAGACTAAAATTGTAATTGTAAAATGTACACTAAAGACAAGGTTTTCAAGCATTACCTCAATGACATGTTATGAGCTGATCTAAGAGCTGATTTATGAGCGGAAAATACCTGTACATTTAGTTGAATTTAGGTTTAAACTCACATTTCCTGTTGTCGATTAATCAGCCATTGAGGTGAACAATTTATGAATTTGTCCAAAAAAATTGTCCAAGAAAAAGTGAAACATGCCTATTATTTTCCCAGATCCAAAGCTGCCATATTAAACAGAATTATATTATTATTATTATATATATATATTATATATATTCAACCAACAGTAAAAAGCCTTATGTTTGTCATTTCTTGCCTGAAAAAATTACTAAAACATTTGATGGCTTATCAAACTAGTTACACTTGAATCATCTCTCAACTGAGAAAGCATTTAAATAAGTAGCTGTTCAAGTTTGGATCAAATGAATAAATAACCTTTAATATCTTACTGACCTTTTTGAAGAGTTTCTCCAAGCCAGGTTGGTCCAGAAGATCTAGTTCATGAAACTCAATGCTGGTGTCCAGGAACTTCTCTATCCTCCGTATGCTTTCTGGCACATCCCCCTCTCCTCCATAGACAACAGGTTACACACACAAAGAGAGACACACACACACATACACACACACACACACACTTAGTTTTATATTATGACTTTGAATTGCCAACTGTAAGCTGAGGCACTAACTTTTTATCAGCCTGTGTTTTCATTAAGGGAGTTTACCTCTGACAGCGTTACTGAAGTTATCCACCACGACTGGATGGTAACCCGCTTCGATGAGCTCCACCACACAGTGACTACCGATGTAGCCTCCTCCACCTGTGACCAGCACCTTCTCTGCCATTCTCTCACCTGTCAAATACAACATACAATCACAAACATAAACTCAACCATTTAAAACCCTGTTGTGATTATTCTTGTTAAAGCACAATGATGTGAAGGCAATCTCTAGACCTGCTCTGGAAGAACAGGATATCCTTTAGCCTGAGTAAGTTTGAGGAAATACTTTAGGGCCACTGTCCCAGGGCAAGCCCAAACCTGTCAAGCCACATAAAACAATTATAGTGCTATAATTAGTTACCTTGTAACGTCAGTCGCTACTCACTGTTGGAAGGTATTTTAATCATTTGAGAAGGTGACCTTAAATAAACTATAATGTACTAGTACGTTGCTTCGTAAAAGTTGTATGAATGAATTTCAATAAAAACCTTTGCAAATATATAAAGTACAGGCCCCTAATGAGTGCTGAGTCTGCTTTAACATAAACCCATGGACATTTAACTTCTTTCCATCTAGGCTTAATCAATAACCTAATACTATGTCTCCTCACTAGTAACATACACTCTAAGCCAAATCCTAAACACACTTTTTCCTCAGTACACTTTTGTATTCTGTGTTTTGCATTTTGAGACTGTACATTATAGCTAAATGTATTATTGTCTGTATAAGATTAGGCACAATCCAAATTAACACGTCTTTTTTTATAAACGTGATGTCGTCGTCGACCCACTGCATCTATGCCAGTTCTACTAAGGATTAACAACTTAAACTTAGTCTAACCCATTGAGCAAAGGCATTAATTTGTGACAAACTGTCAGAATGAGAGCACATCCTACAGAGAACTGAAGATGTCAGCGAAAAGACTTACTTAATTTCCCGATAAGAGAGTAAATAGTAGTTCCCGACAGAGTCTCCTAATAAAACAGACCCGGAGAAGCAGGAAAAGTGTGTGTCGTGACAGAAATAAGTTTTATCTGTCAGTTCATTTAGTGAAGTGTTTCCCCTCTCCTTTAGCCATATCTTTACTTCCTGTAAAACGTGGAAACAGCGATAAGTTCATGAGTAGAGCGCAACTTCCTATATCTGTCCTTTCAAAATAAAAGCATACGCATTCCTACATTGGCACCGCAGAACATTTAATTCACTTAAGCTTTAACTGTGATATAAAGTTATCAATATGTGTAATACCATGTAGGAAAATAAACGCAACATAAACCAAAACATGTTATAATATCGGCAAAACTATAGTTTCAGCTTTTATTTTGAAGTATTAAACGGATTCACCATACTGCTCATCGTGCGCTTCATGGTATTTAATCACTTTGACGTTGTACGTAAGAGGCTCACATGCCGTGACGTCAGAACCACCCTAATAAAGCTACGCCCTTGCCCATACAAACAGAGAGGTGATAGTGCTGTGTACAGACCAATACACACAGGATGGGAAGGGGAAAGTGCCACGTAACTTAACAAATTCAGTCCAGCACATTTGCAAATATAAGGGTTTAGGCAGCAATGCAAGTGCAGTTTAGTTAAAAGAACTACAGATACTTGAATTTATCCACATAAAAACATGTTTTAAAACATGTTTAAAACATACAGTAGGCTATATTCTATATGTCATTATGTTAATACATTTTAAAAGTATCACTATGTATAATGTACAAAGTTGTAGATGTTTTTTACGTAATTGTCCAAACTCAAATAAAAGTAAATAAACAAACAGACAGAGAAAATATGAACCACAGCATCCAAAACTTATGTAGCATTTTAAAACACTATATTTCTAACTAATTATCTGACCTTTTTCTTTATTTCCTATGATGACATATTCAATTTGAACTGATGCCTTTTCTGTTGCCTTCAGATCATAATGTGTAAATCATGCATGTGAAATATGTGTTGGCATTCTTATGTTCATAAAGACAACTGTTTTTTCCATTAAGTCTATATGAAGTTCAGATTTAGCAGGAGTCTTTTATATCCTGTGTCATTTCTGAAGGCCACTTGCCAGTCCTGCCCAGAGACACTGACACATAAAGAAAGGCGGCAGAATTGTGAGCAAAGAAAGATGAGACGAGTTGGATACCTTAGAGATCAAGTTTGCTTTCATAATGCAGTCTCTTTGTTATAGAAAGGTCTTGGAGCAGATGAAGACATCTGAAGAGGGAAAACACAATGGAAAACACATCAGCAGTACACAGTTATAATACAGGAAAACCAATCCAACCAGCAACCAGCAACTCTCCCCCCTAGCCCTGATCTACTGTGTATGCTGTGGGCAGTCCTCTAATGTGGATTGGCAGCAGTGTGACCCGGATGGGGCTCAGATGGCAGCTGTGAAGGGGGCCTGGTCTCCAAGACGAAAATGCAAATGAGGAGACACAGGGCTGAGCCAGATCCGACATGTGTGTGTCAGGAAAAGGGTCCAGTATGTGGCTCAGATGGGTGGACCTACCCGAATGTTTGCCAGATGAGAGAGGTCATGAGCCAGCATAAAACCACCCTAAAGCTCACTGGAGGAGGACCTTGTTACTGTGGTTACTGCATTATTTTCTTGCACAAGTCATCAGTCCAGGAATTATTAGATTCAAATTCATGTGAAGAGTTGTCTTGTTACTTATTAACTTTAGTGATCCTAGTTTTGAACCTTGAGGTACTCCTTTTTTTGCTGCGCCCCCACGTAACCTTCGAAGCCGCAGAAACCAGTTAAATATACACAGGGAACGACATTGTGTTTTTGTGCGAAGCCTAAGCCTACCATCTGTCAAACCTGAGCTGGGCAAAGACACGGAGTGACAATTTCCTGCCCGGAGATGATCCACACAGCTCTGTCCAGGTTTAATATGCACTGCTGTTATCAGGGTTTACTGAAAGTTTCAGTAACAGTGTATCTGAGGCTGCAAAATCAAGCAGAAACAAAACAGAACAACTATCTAAAAATAAAACTAACTGCTGAGTCACCAGATAATTAACCGAATGCAGAGAATGATCCAATGTCCAGGAACAATGTTTTCACCTATTCTCGCCTTGCTGCCTTTACTGTGGTGTTCCCTGGTAAAAAGATCCCACCTCCACCTGTCTCCAAGAAATGTAAACCATCATTTAATTTGATTTAAGTGATACAAACAGATACAAGTCACCCCTAAAGTAAAGCCTCAACCACTTCTACCTGCTTTCACGTCTCCACCCAGAAAACGTAGGGTACAGTACATTCGTACACTGAGGAAAAAAGAAGGAGATGGGTGGAGCGAGAGAAGGTGGGACCATCCACAGGGTCTCCGTCTGATTCTCTTCATCTCTCTCCACCTGAGTGCCAGTTAATCCTCCCCTCATCCCAGACTCCCAGCTGGATACACTGGCTCCTTCTGAATGGCAAGCTGCATTAACGCCGAGGAACTTTCCCCTGCTGTCTGTTAGTCAAAGCTGATTGGAGATTAATGGCCTGCGGCGAAAATACAGCCTTCCATCTCATCTCAAATCACTTTCCACCCCTTTATCTCTCCTTCTCTTCACTTCTATATCTTTTAATCCCAGCTCTCCTCCTTTTCAATGTCATCAACTTTTGCTTGCCACTACATTTTAGACTCTATTCAGTTATCTGTTTTTGACAGATACATGACAAGAAGGATGAAGAAGAGGAAGACTGAGTAGAAAAAATAAACCCCCCTCCTGAGTGGAGCCAGAATGATGTCATGGGGGCATTTGTCCTCCTGGTGTGGAGGCTTCCCTTCCCCTGCTAATTACCTTGTACAAACTCGAATCTGATACGGCGGATATGAGGCCCAAACACAATTATTGTGGGCTAACAAAGAGATATTGAGATTCAGGGAATGAGGGAGAGACTGCAAGTGAGATAGAAGGAAAAGCATGCGCATGGCCATGCATGCACACACACATACAGTGACCACATGCGTGCACACACACAAGCATACCCCACCCACACACACACAACCACTTGTCCTTCCCCTCCATTCCCTCAGATAGGCTAATGTTATTACTGGGGTAATTATCCTCATTAGTGCCAGCAGCTGTAGAGAGCACATTGCTTGCTGTTCAAACTCCACCCCAAACCTTTCCGTCTTCACATCCCTCTTTGTATTCCCAAGATCTTATTTAGAGACTTTGTCTCCATCCTTGGCATGCAGTTGTAAAAATAGAGCCCCATCAAATATCTAATGAGCCCAAGTTACCCCTACTTGTTAGAGTCTATTTTGTGGATGTGGGTTGCTAATGTGTTCTGGCTTGCAGCACTGACCACAAAAAGCTACATTAGAAGGCTCAGCAGTGTGCAAAAGTAGAAAAATGGCTAAAGTGCATTTATAAATGAGTTAATAGTTAACTTAATTGGATGTCATAAAACAAGGATCCATCTCTCATTCCACCTGCAGGGTTTTTGGATTTTAAAAACTGAACACAAGATGGCACTGTTTAGTCAAATAACCACTTTACTGCTCTCCAGTGACTGCTCATACACCTATTTGCACTGCTCTCTATTTGCTTCATGTATTCTCTTATTTACATCCCTCTAAGCAAAATCCGTCACCAAATATTATTAGTTGTCAGTCTTTCTGTTTTGGATACAATGACACTTCCCCACTGACACCCAGAGAATACAAGTATTTGCATAACTAAAGGTGTTGCCTTTTATATGAAAGCCTTCTGAAAATGAATCCCTTCGTGCTTTTCACCCCAATGCGCTGTGTGCATCTTTACACACAAATTATGAGATCAACAGCTGAAACAGGCAGCTTTGCACACAGCCTTCCCCCCCGCTCTGTGAGATTGCCTTTTGTTTTATTGCCAGGGGCTGCTGAGGACAGTAGGTAACCTGTATGCCACTAAGCCCCGCATCAGGCGCTAAATGTCATGCATAGCCTGTTTTTATTGGCTGAAATGGCCCGTTGTACCCTTCTCCTTTTTCCTGGAAGCCATTGTTAAAGAGCTGGTTGTTAACGTGGCTGACCAGATGGGCTCCTTCTCCCACATCAGCTCTGACTGAGGGTGTTTACCATGCACTGGGCTGTGGATAACAGGTGAGACTGATGCTTTTCAACCAATCACTGAGCAGCAGATGTCTGGCCTCTGCCTGTAAACCTTTATTTGGCATTTGGGGCCTTATGGGAGTGGGTTTGATAATAACACGGAATCAAAGTGAATACTGGTTTATATGTTTTCCACATGACGCTTTTATGTGAAATGGCCATGCAAGCTATGCCAATAAGCCCCTCAAACTCCCTGAACCCAATATCCTGAATCCATTTTCTGTCAGAACCTTCAGATAAATAAAGATGAAATATCTTTTGTGTATGAAATACTTCAAATGAAAAACATCTCTGCTATTTATTTTCCCTCATTCAAGTTCAGACCTCATTTCCAGAGATGTTCCCCAGTCCCTTGTGCGACAAAATGTTTCAAGCATTAGCTGAGCAAACAGCGGACATTCCTTTCCCTTTTCCAATGCAGCCCATCTTGAATTACTGCAATTATTATGGCAACAACAGAAGGTAAGGCCGGGCCTGGGATGGTTGAGGAGTACTCTTCTAAAGCTCTGAATCAATCTGCCTTAATGGATGACCTGTGTCGAGCATGCATGTATGGATTAGTTTGTCTGCAGCACCTGTCCCTGCTCTGTCAACAGCAGATCAGGTTACTGGCCACACATTCACCTGGCTGACACAACTTCCTGTGATTGACAATACGCCGGCTTTTGTGCACTGCTGCTCTCACAATATTGACATTGAATGTACAATTATGAAACAGGTGATCTTAAAAAATACTTTGGATATAGAGATTTTTCTTTTCCTCACAATGAAAAAAAATCCATATTGCCACAAACAAATCCACCTCACATCTGTCTTGTAATTTTAAGATCGGGCTCTTATGAGGCCTTTCAGGTTGATTATGGAGTTAAGCTTCCAGAGCGACCCACTGAAGCAAGGCTGTAGCCGAGCTTAACATCCTCCCAAGGACAGCTTGTATCTGATCTGAACTGGGAAACAAAGCGCGGCGGAGAATAGGAAGAATCCTCT